CTTTTGGAGTGAGAGGCAATCACGCTTACTACTACACCACCGGTGCCACTAACCTACAGAATGTTGAAAATGAACACAAAATGCCTAAAATGACTTGCAAATACTAAATAACAATAAAATAAGGGTTATTGAAAATTATTCGAATGAAAATTCCTGTTTACTTTGTCGCCAACATTCAACAACTTTGACTACGATCGGAAATATCTCGAAACGAATATGCATAAATATTAGAGAAGATTAAAGTCTAGTACCCCGTACAGACTATGGTTTATATTATCATGTAATATAGGCTGTCTTGCAATGAGCACTCATACATCTAGTTTTCACTGGAAATCCTATGTATGAGTGATCATATGATGTGATGATATGATATTGCAATTGCTCATGTATGAGTGATCATATATATGATGTGATGATATGATATTGCAATTGCTCATTACAGCTAAAATGCTATTTATCGTAATTATGAAACAATGTGATACTATAATGATAATTTTTATTTGTAAGATGCAAGAAGAGGTGGTAAAGTTTGTGTATGACACATAAAATTTGTCAATTTTGCTTTCAGAAGGTCAAAACTAGCGATTTTATGATCGCTGATTGCTCGCTCAACGCGTTGCTCATCGTTACAGCTAATTGCTAGTTGTGACCTTCTGAAAGCAAAATTGACAAATTGTATATGTCATAAAGGGTGATACGGTCAAAATTTGGTCAAGGGAAAACGCGTGTAAATCGGTGAAATCGTTTATTTAAAAAATCAAATTAAATTTCTTTTTCAAGTTCAATTAGTATAAAATTCAGGAAAAATATTCAGTTAGGCTTCCGCTTTTCCAAATCCGAATTGCCGGGCCTTACGCTTGACCCCTGCCATCAGAATTTATACAGCCACCTTGTCCACCTTCTTCGCCGCAGAAAGCCAGTTTGCCTTGAACTGCTGCTCGCCCTTAGCAGTTTTTTTGGTCTTCTTTAGGTTCCGCTTGACAATAGCCCAGTATTTCTCAATTGGGCGGAGCTCTGGCGTGTTGGGAGGGTTCTTGTCCTGGGAACCACCTGCACGTTGTTGGCGGCGTACCACTCCATGGCCTTTTTACCGTAATGGCAAGATGCCAAATCCGGCCAAAACAGTACGGAACAACCGCGTTTCTTCAGGAAAGGCAGCAGACGTTTATTCAAACACTCTTTCACGTAAATTTCTTGGTTGACAGTCCCGGAAGCTATGAAAATGCTGCTTTTCAAGCCACAGGTACAGATGGCTTGCCAAACCAGATATTTCTTTGCGAACTTTGACAGTTTCATGTGCTTGAAAACATCTGCTACCTTTCCCCTTCCTTTTGCCGTATAAAACTCCTGTCCCGGAAGCTGCTTGTAGTCGGCTTTGACGTAGGTTTCGTCGTCCATTACCACGCAGTCAAACTTCGTCAGCATCGTCGTGTACAGCCTCCGGGATCGCGCTTTGGCCGTCGTATTTTGTTTATCATCGCGATTTGGAGTCACTACCTTCTTGTAAGTCCATAGTCCGGCTCGTTTTTTGGTTCGATGCACGGTTGTAGACGATACACCCAGCTTATTTGCGGCATCTCGGAGAGAGAGGTTAGGGTTTCGCTTGAAACTACCGGCAACTCTCTTTGTCGTCTCAGCGGCTTCCGGTTTTCGATTTTCCCCCGATCCAGACTTCCTGGCTGTCGACAAACGTTCCCCAAACACTTTAATTACATTTGTAACGGTAGATTTGGCAACTTTTAGCGATTTTGCCAACTTTGCGTGCGAGTAGCTCGGATTTTCGCGATGCGCGAGCAAAATTTTGATACGCTGCTCTTCTTGCTTGGACGGCATTTTGACAACTGAAGAATGAATTCCAAAATCAAAATAGGAGCAACATTCTACACACACACACCTTCAAAATGAGGGGTGTTCAGGTTTTTTAAATGCAAAATTGAAAGAAATACGTCAAGTTGATATTGACCAAATTTTGACCGTATCACCCTTTACACAAACTTTACCACCTCTTCTTGCATCTTACAAATAAAAATTATCATTACAGTATCTCATTGATTCATAATTACGAAAAATAGCATTTTAGCTGTAATGAGCAATTGCAAGCCTGGTCTTAAGTAAAACTTGTCTGTGATAAAATGCTTCATTCATAGATTAGTTTCCTATTTAAATAGTATATTTTGTTTATGGTGAGTACTTCCATCATGGCCAACTGACTCCATCCCAACGCACCCTGTCATGGTAAATGGTATTCCAAAATGCCACAACCGAATACACAACAGGACACACAGCCATAACAGAAGCATTCACCCTTTTCGAGAATGAAGCAATATACATACATTATTTATGATGCCAACTGTAATATAGGTATTTTGGTTATTATCATTGAATAAATGAATGAAAAACAATTAAAATACTTCACGCAATTGGGTTGTTTAACTTCGAAAAATATACGGATTTTTATACATCATCTGATACACACTTAATCTAGCTCGGTAAAATCTCCAACAGCCGATTACTTCGGCATTTAGTTTTGCTGATATCTCTGCAAACAATCTGTTTGTTAGCTGATATCTCAGCAAAATATTATTTGTTAGCTGAGTCTCGGCAATTGTTTGACTGAATCTCAGCAAAATAAATTACAGAATTACTCGGCTGTTGGAATTTCGGCGAAAAATTTTAAGTGTGTAGAGCTTCGTTTTTTGAGTACAACGATATTTTTATCGATCCCTCATACCCCGTACACAGAAAAAAAAAGTTGTTGAATATTACATACAAACTGCTGCAACCAGGTAAATCCATCGGTTGTGTAATATAGCGTTGTACGATGTACATCGATTTTGCGATCAAAATAACATCCATTGATGTAATATTGTATCTGCTTTTTGCTATTACATCATTATTTCATACATCAGCTTGAATTACATTGATCGATATTACATTTTTTTTTTGCTGTGTACAGACTATGATCTAGTTTTCACTGGAAATCCTGTGTTTGAGTGCTTATTGCAAGATAACACAGAGTTTAGATTACCGAAGTCGGTAAAATTTTACTGGGGTTTTAAACAGCTGAGTTTTCAGTAATCAACCCAGTAGTTTTTGCTTTTGCAGAATCTCTGAACTGTCAAAAGTTACCGTGTTAGTCAGTACTAGAATTGCTGTCTGTCGAACAGTAATTTGTTTGTTTACATAGTTTTTTACTGAGTTTTTCAGCATTTATATTTTATTTATTTATTTTTTTTGATGAATAAGTCAACAATGTTTTAATTTCATTATTTGTTTGGGTTCATTCGATTAAAACATTTCGAATTTATAGCGATTTGTAGTTGGGAACGGAGTTTAGTGGTGGATTAGCAGTCATGCTGTTTTAACTAGTCCAGGTTGAGCGGTCAGAGCTTCCCGGTGATTTAGCCGGGTGGTGGCTCTTTCTATTGCCGGATTGCGTTCCTACATCAGCTTGAATTACGTTGATCGATATTACATTTTTTTTGCTGTGTACGACGTGTTTAGATGTAATATTCAACAACTTTTTTTTCTGTGTAGGAAATGGATGAGAAGAATATAAGATACCATCACGTCGGGCTTGACTTCGGGCCACTGTCTTGGTCTCTCGTGCAGGCCTGCAGCATGGCGTTAAGCTCTCCCATCTTCGACAAGGTGCTTAAGAATAGCCTACGGGAGGGCCAAACCATTTGTGGAATAGTTCTATCATTAAGGTTATCGTTCGGGTATGATATTTTTTTATTATGAGTAATCTACACGAAACGAAAATCAATTATTTAATTCATGTGTTTCACTTATACATTTTCGCCAAAGCATCAGCCTTATACATTCCATAAGACAAACCACATAGGTCCTATTAGAATGCATAAAAGGTATGTGTGACCGCATATACATTTCATTTGACTCATGATCTTTATTAACTTTTTGCAAGGCGTCTGCTTATTAGTTGACTTATACATTTTATGAATAATCAGCAATGGAAATTTGCCAAAAGGTATAAGGAGATTTCTATCCGTGTAAAATATGGTTGTTTTTCAATATTTTTCTCTCCGTGTACCGATATTTGACAAATAGTTCTGGCAACTCTTGTGTGCTTTGACACCAGAAATTTGCCGCAGGGGTCAGTTTTGACATATTTTGAATAGTGCTGGTGCAGCACATTATTCCAAAGCAAAACAAAAACATTTTACATAATTTTGTAAAACTTCGTCGGCATTCAAACATATTTGCCATAAATTAAGAATAATCAATTGTAAAAAATCTTCAAAACATGTCGACCATAAAGTACATCGGTCGCACAACCGATTTTAAAGGTAAAACCCTGTGGGAAATCGTAGGCAATCTGAAAAATTTCGGTGTTGGTCGAGTGGTCGTCCGGAACATGTTCGAGCGCTACCCAGAACCCAGCTACATGAAAATCGTTAAAGTCGAAACCCTACCGAATGAGGTAAGTAATAAATGTTCATGGGCTTCAGAAAATTGTTTCAAATGTGTTGATTTTTTTTAGGAAACACGTAAGGTCAAAGTAACGGTGGAGAAAACATTCCGCGGCCAAACGTACCCCAAATTGGTTGAAATCAACAGCGTATCCTACAAGGCCGACTATCGGTTGCTTCACAAGCACGAGGAGGCATCCTACTGCAGGGCGGTGCAGCGGGCGGAGAAAATTATTCCGCGGGAAATCGATATGCCTCCACTATTGAAGGAATTTGTTCAAAGAGAAACGGGAAAAAGCGACCCGAAGATTGCGATCAAACTGAAACCGGGTCATAACAATGTCTACCGATTGGCGAAGGAGGGCGAGAAACCCACCATTGAAGTTGGTATGGGCATCGGAAAGCCAGCTAGTCCTAAGCTGTATGCGAATTGCGAAATGTAATTGTTTGGATGAATAAATATAGATTATTAACTAGAAAGATAGTATGATTATTCTGAAAGAAGGAACTTTGTTTCCATTTAAAATTCTTCTGATAATAATTCGATGATTTAATTAAATAATTTACAACCGCGTTAATCATCTCTCCAGGTAACTTCAACCTCATCGGTTCTGTACCTCTGTGTGATGGTGGCTTCTTCCCAGCTCATTCGGGTCCCACTGCGGAACATCTCCCATCCAGCATGAGCAATCATTACTCCGTTGTCGATGCAAAATCTTTCATCCGTGGCAAACAGCTTTGCTCCCCGCTCCTCACACATTATACCCATCATTTCCTGAAGACGCTCGTTGCAGCCTACTCCTCCCACGATCAGTACCTCACTGGAACCGCAATGAGCCATCGCTCGTTCAGTTGTTTCGATCAGCATAGCAAAAAGAGTCTCCTGCAGTGAGAAGCATAAATCCTCATCGGACCACTTTTCTTCTTCCACTCCACTGACTCGCTTCTGCTTTTTCTGTTTTCCCTTCGGTCTAGCCTTTTGTTCGATAAAGGACAAAATTCCTGAAAAACTAACATCCATGCCCTTAACCGAATATGGAAGCGGAACATATTTGGTGCCCTTTTTGGCCATCTGCTCGATGTTATAGCCGGGACTGGGATCGTTGGACAGTTTTATGATTCGAGCAAACCGGTCCAAGCAATTCCCGATGGCGATATCGATCGTTTCCCCGAAAATCCTGTACCGTTTGCAAGCGTACGATATGACCTGGGTGTTTCCACCGCTTACGTACAGGACGGTTGGGTTTTCCGCTTTGGTAATCAACCGACCCATTTCAATGTGACCGATGCAGTGGTTCACTCCCATGATCGGTTTGTTCCAAATCTGAGCAATGGTTCGAGCGACGATTGCCACCGCCAGTAGTGGAGGTGCCATTCCCGGTCCCTTGGTATAGCAGACGACATCAATCTCCTTAGGCTTTACGCCAGAAACGGCAAGGGCACGCTTCAGAATGTCGTGAATTTTCGATCGGTGATGTTGCGCTGTTTCCTTCGGAAGGAATCCTAACATAATGGAAGACATATTCCGTTAAGCTACGGACACAGTTAATCAAAATATTTATTATTCACCTTTATTCTTGTTTTTGTTCGAGCTGTATTTTTCCGTACAAAAAAAAACTTTTTTTGTACGGAAAATACGGTTCGAACGAAAACGAGAATATGGATGATTGTCTTATCCTTACCTTCTCCCGGTGGGGTGATGTAGGTTTCTCGTTCGTTAGCGAGCACCTCACCGTCGCGCACTATTCCAACACCGATTTTGTTGGCGCTTCCTTCAAATCCGATCGCGATTACCATGGTTGGTTAGTTTTGCATTAATAATTAATTATTATTCTTTATTTGCGGAAATCTCGCTAATCATAACAACTTCAAAATAAAGTCCAACACGCTATTTCAAAACTACCCAAATTTGGGTAGAATCCACCCACATCGGTCAAAACTGAACCTACCAGAAAATGGGTAAACTGTGTTGGGAGTGACAAGTTGACAAATGAACAACGTCGATCGGATTCATGTCGATGTTCTTCATTTGTCAACCTGTTTCAAACACAGTTTACCATTTTTGGGTGGGTTCAGTTTTGACCGATCTGGGTGTATTCTACCCAAATTTGGGTAGTTTTGTACAGTAAAAGTGGGACGTCTGTCAAAAGTTGTTCCAATCGAACCGTCAAAATGCACCGCTCCCACATACCGCGGGCGTGTCGCCAGAAGCGCGCCCAAGGACCGCCCTTTGCGCACCCCCGCGGTGCCGTCTCCTGACAGAGTTTGTTCCGAATTAGCTAATCGGTTGCTTTTCACATCGCGGCACCAAACATGAATCGATCTGTTTTCCACAAACGCGCGGCCCGGCTAAAAGTAAACAAACTACCGGAGGTTGTTTGCTCCAGCTCGGATTAGCCTCCCTGCACATTATTTTTATTTCGCTAGAAAACAGCAAAACTTTGCTGGATTTTGCCGAGCTGGAAATCCAGCAATCCTTCCTGCAAAAAAAATATCACTGGATAACCAGCAAAATAATCTGACAGAAAAACGACAGCACTTTATACCCCGTTCACATTACAGCGTATATCACGTGATATACGCTGCCTTGCAATGAGCACTCATACATCTATTTTTCACTAGAAATCCTAAGTATGAGTGTTCATTGCAAGACAGCCTATATTACGTGATAAAGGCTGTAATGTGAACGGGGTATTACTGTAGAACCAGCCAAATTTTTTGTTGGAAATTTATTTTGCTGTATGATCAGTAAAACCTGAGTACTCAGCCGATTTTATTTTTCAAGTGAGCTAGAAAACATCTTGAAAATCTTTCGAAGTTTCAAATTGTTTTGCTAAAACAGCTCACGAAATTGTACTACCGGACAATGATTCCATTCTTATCCGCCACGTATACGTTACGTATACTACACAGCAAAAAAAGTTGTTGAATATTACATCGAAACTGCTGCAACCAGGTCAATCCATCGGTTGTGTAATATCACATTGTACGATGTACATCGATTTTGTGAACAAAATTACATCCATTGATGTAATATTGTATCTGCTTTTTGCTATTACATCATTATTTCATACATCAGCATGAATTACGTTGATCGATATTACATTTTTTTTTGCTGTGTATAGAACCACTGGAATAAGCAGCCCAGTGGCAGGCGCGTAGGCAACATGTTATACAGTGACAGTGGGCCCAGCACAGCAAAATAAATTATTTGAGCCTGGGACATGCTGCCTACTGTCAAACGCTGCTGTTGGTATAGGCCCTATAGGCCTTGTCACTGGCCTGGGAATAAGAGACCAGCGGAGACACTGTTATGATTCCAATCGAACTGTCAAAAGCGGTTCCAATCTGCAATGTTTACAAATGGTTTGCTTCAATTAGGGAGGAGTATTAAAGTCGTTTAACAATCACTCGTGAACTCGCTCGTCGGTGCATTGGCGTAGTCACTTACAAGCAGTTACAAATCAAGAGCAAATTTTCATTATGTCGTAAGTAACGTTCGCACCAATCCGAGAAAAATAAAGTTTTGTTTTGATGACCGAAAAGTTATTCCTATTTCCAAGTAAACTCATATAATCTCATAGTGATAGCAATGTTTAACATATTTAGCAGGGTTTTAATCATACAAATGCAAATCGCTAGCTTTCATGCTAAAAAATACTGGTTTTTGAGTCAAAAGTTATTATACGTCGTTTGGTGGCCCCTATTGTTACTTAAGTCAAAGTGTATTTACCAGGATATTCGGGAGAATTATCAATTACGTCTCCTTACGTGTAGCCCATTCATCATTTCAGGACTACCGAAATCATCTTAGCAACAAACAGTTCGATTTATTCACTTTAAAAGCGAAACGACGAACGTACACTTTTCACGGGTTTCTCAGCGCTGTTACTTAAGTCAAACGGCATCTCCATAGAAATTGGGTGACTTAAGTAACATCGAAAACTATTTTGATCGGAAGGTGATTACGTCAAAAAGCAATTTGACTGGCAAATAAATTAAAAAATGGGATTTGATCCTATATTCGGACAGTATATAGTGTAATAGCAGGAGAATCGATTGACACTGATAGCTCGACTTTGTTTACCTTTGTTACATTCGACGTAATGAAAATTTGCTCTTGAAATGCAAGTGATGCCTGGATTGCTTTGATGTTAATCTTGTTGCCAACTATATGTTTTTTTTTCTCCGTTGGTCTCTTATTCCAGTGTTTCTAGCTTAAACAAACATTCCTCTCATTAACGAATTCTTCGGTGTTTTGACAGGGGCGTAATCCCTGTCCCTATTTTTGCCCTGCCAACACCTCGGCAGTATTGAAATTCGACTACATTTCCAATCACGAACTGATCGTTGCACGTGAATTGGCACCAATCACCAACGTAGATTTCCTCGTGGGTCCCGGGAGACTGTATGTTTATAGGGTCTATTCTGAAGTCATAACAGCGGACTAATCGATACAATCTATCAGAGCTGACAGTATCCTTAACGCTCAATTCCAAGGGCCCTGGAACACCCACGGAGGTTGTGATCCTATCCGATAAAAAAGGCTAAACGCCTCAATGGAGCCGGAAAAAAGAGGCTGGACACAGCTAGAAGAGGAGATGTTAGACAATCGTCTACTCCTAAGCAGGCCACTAATGTCTCCAATAAAGCATCTTATAGCGAGGTATTAAACTCTATCAGGATTGGAATTTTGCCCGATGGTTATTTTCATGTAGAACTTACAACACAACAATTAGTTGCTACCCAAAAGGCAATACTAAGAAAAGTAGCAGAGCAAAGGAAGGAAAAAACCAAACCAAAGTTTGGCAATTGCTTTTTCAGACCAGGGCATATGATCATCATTTGTAAAAACCAGGATACGGTTGACTGGTTGAAGGCTACAACTCCCAGCATTAAGCCATGGGAAGAAGCATGCCTCATTGCAATTGAAGAAAAAGAAATACCTAGGCCGGAAATTTTACTGGGTTTCTTCCCACGAAGTGTAGAGGACACAAATGAGGATATCCTTGCCTTCGTGGAAAGCCAAAATGAAGGATTAATGGTTGACGCTTGGAAGATCCTTAAAAGATATACAGTTAAACAGTATCACGTTGAACTTGTCTTGACTGTTGATGCTGTTTCCATGGAGACTTTAGAAAAATGCGATTTCACTTTGGATTATAAATTCGGAGTTGCTTATCTAAGAAAAAAATCCTCAAGGAAATCAGGAAATAATGAGGAATCACAACAACTCGGTGGAAAAAAGGAAAAGGGCGATTCAGAACAGTCCAATACAAGTTCTAGAATTCACGAAATTTTCGAGGATGCTGAGATGCGTGAGACAAATCAACGAGGTACAGAAGCTAGCGGCATCACTAACAGTGAACCTGATGAAACCTGCAATGCTACTGCAAATGTTGAGGGATGTTTTCACAATGCTCATGAGTGTCCTCAAGAAAGTAGTGGAACAAAGAATATTGGAAATTCTGGTAACTCTAAGACCACTGGGTCCCGAAGAAAATCATTATTATTTTTGGCTCACTCAGTACCAGAACAACGGTCCCAAGCAGTCCCAAGCTATTTCACTCACCCCTGCATGTTCTGCATGAATCCACACACCCCTGATGTTATCTGTCAAACTTTCATAGCGAATCAAAACAAACATAGTGTAGTAATAGAATTTCAACTAGAATAGGGTACGTTAATCGTTTGCTTGGGACCAATAGGCTACTAAAGTGGTGAGCCAATTTAAAATCGTTAATTTCGTATTGATTGTTGATAATACTGTCACCTGACTTTAACAACTGTTTACGTTGTTGTTGGTGATGATCAACTACAAAATCATGATTGCATGCAAAATGCCACATCTTCAGACCGTGGTGAACGTGATAGATCTACCGAAACAAATGTCTCACTATGTGGGCTAGAAATGTCAAATGAAGAGGCTGAAAACTTTGCCATTAGAATATTTACAAACTCAAGAATTGAATGGGCGATAGATTATTTTAGTTCTTTCAAATCCCCTGGCCCAGATGGAATTTTTCCAGCACATATTCAAAATTGTAAATCTATAATAATTCCTGTTTTAGTTAAATTGTTCAAGTCTAGTTTCTTATTGAGATACATCCCAAAAAATGGAGACAAGTCCGAGTGGTATTCATACCAAAGGCGAACAAAAGAGATAAATCTTCACCAAAATCATTTAGACTAGAGTCGGTGTATAATGAGTCACGCCAAGAGTGAAGCCAAGTCTACCTATTGAACTGTCAAACCGGCTACCTATCGTGCAAAGTAAATAAACATTACGATGCTATGAAAAGGTCCACGAAAGGTATTGCAATAAAATATAAAATATAATCGAAGAAATGAGCATAAACACGCAGTGAGCGTTAAATTGTCATGGGATACGCTCGGTAATGATTAGTAATGAGAATTTCTACTATTTTTTGTTAAGATAATTTGACAAAATCACTGATATAATGATTTACTACAGCCGCAATATTTTTTCTCTCGCTAGAAGTCATTTGAAGTTGTTGTAGAAGTCCTCTGTTGCCAAGTGAAAAGAATGGGAATCTTCCGAAAACTGTGATGCGAGTTCAACTGTTTTTCTCTTGGCGTGACTCATTATACACCGACTCTAATTTAGACCAATAAGCCTGTCATCAATATTTTTGAAATTAATGGAAATATATATATGTCTGAGTGTAGATCGAAATTCTATCCACCAGACTATTAATATAGTGACTATATATAGTCACTATATTAATAGTCTGGTGGATAGAATTTCGATCTACACTCAGACATCACATCAGGCATAACATTTGATAACGGCACAAAAGCATTTGTAAATAAACTTTTAAGGCC